TGGCAATATATTTGATAAGAATATATTTAAAATATATTTAAAATATATTTTTCTTCCATGTGGGTCATGGGAATATCTGGAATGGGGTCACTGCCCCGGTGGTGGCCTTCTGGAAGAACAGTGACTGCCCAGTAATTCTTTTTTTTTTATATCCTTCATATGGAGGTGAATTTACACTGATAAGATTGTCAATGCTGCTGTCCAAAGGTGCCCCTGTGCTACTTCATCCAGAGTGGGGGCACTCTAATACAGGAAGTGTGTATTTGGCCAGATCACCAGGTGAATACTGTATAGAAGATAACTGATGCAGCCACCCAGGGGCGGACTGACCATTTGGAAACTCGGGCGCTGCCCGAGGGCCCGGGTCAGTAGGGGGCCCCATGAGATGCCCTTGGTACCTTTTTCATAGGCTTTTTTGAGTTTGGGTAAGGACACAGGGGCCCCATGATCCCTTATTGCCCGGGGGCCCCATGAGTTGTCAGTCCACCCCTGGCCTGCCCCTGATATAGGTCCTCATTTGTGACCAGTGTTGCACATTATCACTTGAAGTGTCACATATTTAGCACCTTAACCCCTCGCCTACAGGGCACTTCTACCCCCTTCCTGCCTACCAGACACTTCTACCCCCTTCCTGCCTACAGGGCACTTCTACCCCCTTCCTGCCTACAGGGCACTTCTACCCCCTTCCTGCCTACAGGGCACTTCTACCCCCTTCCTGCCTACAGGACACTTCTACCCCCTTCCTGCCTACCGGACACTTCTACCCCCTTCCTGCCTACAAGACACTTCTACCCCCTTCCCGCCTACCGGACACTTCTACCCCCTTCCTGCCTACAGGACACTTCTACCCCCTTCCTGCCTACAGGGCACTTCTACCCCCTTCCTGTCTACAGGGCACTTCTACCCCCTTCCTGCCTACAGGACACTTCTACCCCCTTCCTGCCTACAGGACACTTCTACCCCCTTCCTGCCTACAGGACACTTCTACCCCCTTCCTGTCTACCGGGCACTTCTACCCCCTTCCTGCCTACTGTGCACTTCTACCCCCTTCCTGCCTACAGGACACTTCTACCCCCTTCCTGCCTACCGGACACTTCTACCCCCTTCCTGCCTACAGGGCACTTCTACCCCCTTCCTGCCTACAGGGTACTTCTACCCCCTTCCTGCCTACCGGGCGCTTCTACCCCCTTCCTGCCTACAGGACACTTCTACCCCCTTCCTGCCTACAGGACACTTCTACCCCCTTCCTGTCTACAGGGCACTTCTACCCCCTTCCTGCCTACCGGACACTTCTACCCCCTTCCTGCCTACAGGACACTTCTACCCCCTTCCTGCCTACAGGACACTTCTACCCCCTTCCTGCCTACCGGACACTTCTACCCCCTTCCTGCCTACCGGACACTTCTACCCCCTTCCTGCATACAGGACACTTCTACCCCCTTCCTGCCTACAGGACACTTCTACCCCCTTCCTGCCTACCAGACACTTCTACCCCCTTCTTGCCTACCCGGACACTTCTATCCCCTTCCTGCCTACCGGGCACTTCTACCCCCTTCCTGCCTACAGGACACTTCTACCCCCTTCCTGCCTACAGGACACTTCTACCCCCTTCCTGCCTACAGGACACTTCTACCCCCTTCCTGCCTACCGGGCACTTCTACCCCCTTCCTGCCTACAGGACACTTCTACCCCCCTTCCTGCCTACCGGGCACTTCTGCATTCTTCCTGCCTACCGGGCACTTCTACCCCCTTCCTGCTGAGGCCAATTTCCAGCTTTCAGCGCTGTCACACTTTGAATGACAATTGCGCGGTCATGCAACACTGTACCCATATGAAATTTTTATCATTTTTTTGTGACAGATAGAGCTTTCTTTTGGTGGTATTTAATCACCTCGTGGATTTTTATTTTTTCTTAAACAAACCAAAAATCACTGAAAATTTTGAAAAAAAAAAGTTTTTTCTCAGTTTTTGTTATAAAATTTTGTAAATAAGTGATTTTGGCACTGATTGGCATTGATAGGTGGCACTGACTGGCACTGATGGGTGACACCGAAAGGCAACTCAGATGTGCACTGATATGTGGCATTGATGTGGCACTGATGGGCACTGACAGCTGGCATGGATGAGCACTGATAGGTGGCACTGCTGGGGCTGCACTGATCATCAGAGCACATTGATTATCAGTGCCCTGATGATCAGTGTAGATGTCCCCTCTGAGGAATGCCGATTACCGGCTCTCCTCTCCTCTGTCAGCGTGACAGCTCGAGAGGAGAGAAATGCCGATAACCGGCATTTCCCTATTTACATGTGATCAGCTGTGATTGGACACAGCTGATCACATGAACGAGCCGACATCTTCGGCTCATTCCGTGGATCGGTGATCCACCACCGCCAATCGCCGCACTGCGCGCTCCAGGAGCCGTGCTTGCACGGTTAGACGTCCTCTCAGAATGAGAAAACCACCTTGCGTCCGTCATTGGACTATATGGCGGGTGGGAGGCGGTTAATGTATTTATTTATTTATCATTTATTTATTGTTATTTATAGCGCTTCACAATCATTATTTATTGATTAAATTGCCCCTTTGGTATAAGTATAGGTGATAGCTGCTCGTGTATTTACATATATCTGTTAAGCGCAGGAGGAATTTATCCATATCTTCTGGAAGAACATTTTACCGACTTTCTATAGCTGATTGCCAACCTAGTGGGTAAGTACAAGGGGTTCAGACAGCATAACCAGCCCAGGGCCCATGAGGTCCTGGCCTCCCATCCATAGGAGCCTCCAGGGGTGGACTGACCGTTTGGAAACTCAGGCACTGCCCGAGGGCCCGGGGACAGTAGGGTACCCCATGAGATGCCCCTGGTACCTTTTTCATAGGCTTTTTTGAGTTTGGGAAAGGATACAGGGGCCCCATGATCCCCTATTGCCCGGGGGCCCCATGAGTTGTCAGTCCGCCCCTGGGAGCCTCCATATGTGACATGGAAAGTCCAAAAGTCATCCCTCACATCTGTTTTTTTTTAATTTTAATTAGACGTGCGATTTGTTTTTTTTAACGACTCAAAATTTGGACAAAATTTTTGTCACTCGGAGATTGGGAAGTGTCTGAATTTCTGACTCACAATAGCAACGAATTTCAAGGAATCCGAAAAAAATAATAACGAAATGGATTTTCTAAATTCAACCCTTGGGGAGACACAACCCATGGAAGTGACCCCAAGGCCCTGCGTGTCAGAAGGCAGACAAGTCATTGCCATGGCATGATTGACACAGTCCAGCTACGACACCCCAACCTGGTTCTCTGAGGTGTCGGAGGAGATGTTGGAGAGACACAATCCATGGAGGTGACATTAAGACCTGGCATGTTGGGAGGTAAACAAGCTGATGCCATGGAATGATTGGCACAGTTCAGCTACGACACCTGGGCAACAGTTCAGCCACGGGACCCGGTTTTCCAAGATGTCGTTTGTCACCCTAACAACATTAAAACTTGGGGAGACATGATCTTTGGAAGTGGCACTGAGGCCTGGCATGTCATGAGACAGACAAGCCAATGTCTTGGCATGACTGGCACAGTTGCGCTATGGCACCCTGACCTTGTTCTCCTTGCCTTTTGTCACCCTATAAACATTTAACCCTTGAAGAGACACAACCCATTGAAGGGACATCAAGGCCTGGCATGTCTGGTGGTAAACAAGCTGATGCCATGGCATGATTGGCACAGTTCAGCTACGACACCTGGGCCTGGTTATCCTTGTTTGTTGTCACCCTACAAACATTTAACCCTTGAGGAGACACAACCCATTCAAGCAACATTGAGGCCTTGCATGTCTGGAGGTAAACAAGCTGATGCCACGGCGTGATTGGCACAGTTCAGCTACAACACCTGGGCCTGGTTCTCCTTGTTTGTTGTCACCCTACAAACATTTAACCCTTGAGCAGACAATCCATGGAAGCAACATTAGACCTGGCATGTCTGGAGGTAAACAAGCTAATGCCATGGCATGCTTGGCACAGTTTAGCTATGGCACCTAGGCCTGGTTCTCCTTGTTTGTTGTCACCATACAAACATTTAACCCTTGAGGAGACACAATTCATGGTAGCAACACTGAGACCTGACATGTCAGGAGGTAAATAAGCTGATGCCATGGCATGCTTGTCATAGTTCAGTTACGGCACCTGGGCCTGGTTCTCCTAGTTTGTTGTCACCCTGCAAACATTTAACCTTTAAGGAGACACAACCCATGGAAGGGACATTGAGGCCTGGCATGTCTAGAGGTAGGTAAACAAGCTGATGCCATGGCATGACTGGCACAGTTCAGCTATGGCACCTGGGCCTGGTTCTCCGTGTTTGTTGTCACCCTACAAACATTTAACCCTTGAGGAGACACAATCCATGGAAGGGACATTGAGGCCTGGCATGTCTGGAGGTAAACAAGCTGATGCTATAGCATGATTGGCACAGTTCAGCTATGGCACCTGGACCTGGTTCCCCTTGTTTGTTGTCACCCTACAAACACTTAACCCTTGAGGAGACAATCCATGGAAGTGACATCGAGGACTGGCATGTATGGAGGTAAACAAGCTGATGCCATGGCATGCTTGGCACAGTTTAGCTATGGCACCTAGGCCTGGTTCTCCTTGTTTGTTGTCACCCTACAAACATTTAACACTTGAGGAGACACAGTCCATGGAAGCCACATCGAGGCCTGGTTCTCCTTGTTTTTTGTCACCCTACAAACATTTAACCCTTGAGGAGACGCATCCCATGGAAGTGACACCAAAGCCTGCCGCGTCAGAAGGCAGACAAGCTGGAGCCATGGCATCACTGGCCCGGTCCAGGTGTGTAGCAGTCTACGCCATCCGATCTGCAGATCCCGCTAACCTCTGGATCCAGAATCGCTCCTAATCTCAGCTGATCCCTCGTCCTTCCCCAAACACAAAACGGCATTATCCTCTGCCATGCTGCCAGCCAACCCCCTCCTCCCCTTCCTCCTCACCTGTCCCAGCCTGCATCGCCTGGACGTCTTTCTCCGGATCCTCTTTCCTGGAATCTACGGGCATGGTGGTCACTTTTTCCTGGCGATTCCCGGCCGCCTGGTGCGCCCTTCTCTCTGGGGGGAGGGGGATGGATCTGTGGATCTGTAGAGCTTAGTGCTGTCTCTGCACCCCTCCTGTAGAAGGAGATGGTCAGGAGGAGGCTGCGCACTGGCTGCTGGGAATTAGTGCAGCTCCACTGGCTGATAAGGAGCAGCGGTGCTCGTGATGCTCAGTCATTCTGCGTGATGTCAGCACAAGGATGCTGCTGCTGCTGCTGCTGCTGCTGTTTTTTTTTTTTTCCTCCCATGCAGAAGGGGCAGGGTGTGTGCGCAGCCACTGCAGAGGAGGCAGGTGGAAGGAAGGGCCCCCCATGTGTCTCTTCCCAGCCTGTGTCAGTCTCCCGCTCGCTCCATTGTGTCCTTGCATCAGCTCGCCTCTCATTATTCATCCCGATTAACCCTTCGCTGAGACAGACAGGCCAACGCAGCCATCAATGCGCACCGGAGGGAAAAGATCTAAACTGATACAATGTATACGTCCTCGTCACCATAGACGGCCAGGAAAAAATGACAATGTAACAATTTCTAGGAAATCTGATATAAAACTATCTGTAAAAAAGTGGCCTAAGGGGGAGGCGCCTTTCGCACCTGCTCGTGAATGAGACTCCTGCTCGTGAATGAGACTCCTGCTCGTGAATGAGACGCACGCAAAATGCGCGTCGCGCTTGTGCTGCTGTTCATTGTTAATAGCTTCCCATACGCAGGCGTGCGTTTTTTTCCGCACGTTGAAATGCTCCACAAAGGCTTCAAGATGCGCGGTTAGAAAAAAAAAAAACCCGCGTGAAGCTCGGCGCTCGAGAAGCTACATCAGCTACTTTGGCGCGTTTGCCACGCATAAGCGACGCGCGTGACATCACGTTCTCAAAACACTTAGGTGTGAGTGCAGCCTCAGGGGTTTAATTACGGATGAGCTGCCAAAGGGTCTGGTATGGAATTCACGTATTTATTTTTAGGGGGACCCCATGCTGGTTTTTTCCCCCATTAAAGGTAAGGGTTTTCTATGTATTTTTAGGGGGGACTCCATTAACATATATACTAGACCCCATTAAGGATAAGGGTCTTCTATGTATTTTTAGGGGGGCCCCCATTAACATATATATACTAGACCCCATTAAGGATAAGGGTCTTCTGTGTATTTTTAGGGGGGACCCCATTAACATATATACTAGACCCCATTAAGGATAAGGGTTTTCTATGTATTTTTAGGGGGGGGGCCCCTCCTTATTTTTGCACAGGGTCCCCATTTACCCCCATTAGAGGTAAGGGTCATCTGTGTATTTTTAGGGGGGACCCCATTAACATATATACTAGACCCCATTAAGGATAAGGGTCTTCTGTGTATTTTTAGGGGGGACCCCATTAACATATATACTAGACCCCATTAAGGATAAGGGTTTTCTATGTATTTTTAGGGGGGCCCCTCCTTATTTTTGCACAGGGTCCCCATTTACCCCCATTAGAGGTAAGGGTCATCTGTGTATTTTTAGGGGGGACCCCATTAACATATATACTAGACCCCATTAAGGATAAGGGTCATCTGTGTATTTTTAGGGGGGACCCCATTAACATATTTACTAGACACCATTAACGATAAGGGTCTTCTATGTATTTTTAGGGGGGCCCCTCCTTATTTTTGCACAGGGTCCCCATTTACCCCCATTAGAGGTAAGGGTCATCTGTGTATTTTTAGGGGGACCCCATTAACATATATACTAGACCCCATTAAGGATAAGGGTTTTTCTATGTATTTTTAGGGGGGCCCCTCCTTATTTTTGCACAGGGTCCCCATTTACCCCCATTAGAGGTAAGGGTCATCTGTGTATTTTTAGGGGGGACCCCATTAACATATATACTGGACCCCATTAAGGATAAGGGTCATCTGTGTATTTTTAGGGGGGACCCCATTAACATATTTACTAGACACCATTAACGATAAGGGTCTTCTATGTATTTTTAGGGGGGCCCCTCCTTTTTTTTTGCACAGGGTCCCCATTTACCCCCCATTAGAGGTAAGGGTCATCTGTGTATTTTTAGGGGGGACCCCATTAACATATATACTAGACCCCATTAAGGATAAGGGTTTTCTATGTATTTTTAGGGGGGCCCCTCCTTATTTTTGCACAGGGTCCCCATTTACCCCCATTAGAGGTAAGGGTCATCTGTGTATTTTTAGGGGGGACCCCATTAACATATATACTAGACCCCATTAAGGATAAGGGTCATCTGTGTATTTTTAGGGGGGACCCCATTAACATATTTACTAGACACCATTAACGATAAGGGTCTTCTATGTATTTTTAGGGGGGCCCCTCCTTTTTTTTTTGCACAGGGTCCCCATTTACCCCCATTAAAGGTAAGGGTCTTCTGTGTATTCTTAGGGGGACCCCATTAACATATATACTAGACCCCATTAAGGACGTTTCTTTTATGTATTTTCAGGGGGGCCCCTCCTTTTTTTTTTGGACAGGGTCCCCATTTACCCCCATTAAAGGTAAGGGTCTTCTATGTATTTTTAGGGGGGACCCCATTAACATAAATACTAGACCCCCATTAAGGATGAGGGTATTCTATGCATTTTTAGGGGGACCCCATGCTGTTCTTATTGCATGATATCCCCTTGACTCCCAAAAAAGATATGTATTTTTAAGAGGCCCTCCACACTTTTTTGTGGGGGTCCTCATTACTTTTATACCAGACCCCCATTAAAGATAAAGGTCTTCAATGTATGTTTAAGGGGACCCCATGCTGTTTTCCCCCCCCAGTAAAGGTAAGGGGTCTTCTATGTATTTTTAGAGGGGACCCCATTAACATATATACTAGGCCCCCATTAAGGTTAAGTGTCTTCTATGTATTGTTAGGGGGACCCCATCCATTTTTTCGCACAGGGTTCCCACTTACCCCCATTAAAGGTAAGGGTCTTCTATGTATTTTTAGGGGGGATCCCATTAACATATATACTAGACCTCCATTAAGTATAAGGGTCTTCTATGCATTTTTAGGGGGACCCCATACTGTTTTTATTGCATGACATCCCCTTGACCCCCCAAAAATATATGTATGTTTAAGAGGAGCCCCACACTTTTTTCTGGGGGACCCTATTAACTTTTATACCAGACCCCCTTTAAGGATGAGGGTATTCTATGCATTTTTAGGGGGGCCCCATAGTGTTTTTATTGCGTGATATCCCCTTGACCCCAAAAAAGATATGTATTTTTAGGAGGGCCCCACGCTTTTTTGTGGGGGTCCATTAACTTTTATACCAGACCCCCATGAAGAATAAGGGTCTTCAATGTATTTTAAGGGGGATCCCATGATGTTATTTTTGCACAGAGTCCCCATTTACTCCCATTAAGGGTAAGGGTCTTCTATGTAATTTTAGGGGAACCCCATTAACTTATATACTAGACCCCCATTAAGGATAAGGGTCTTCTATGTATTTTTATGGGGCTCATACTTTTTTTTATTGCATGGAGTCCCCCTTTACCTTCATTAGGAGCCCATGCTGGGTTTTTTTATATGGGGTTCCCCTTGGCCCCCTTTAAGAATAAGAGTATGTATTTTTAGGGGGGCCCAAAACTTGTTTTGACTGCCCTAGGTAACTCCCACATGTGATGCGGAGCCTCTATGATTGAAAGAACTGAAATCCAATTAATAAAAGGGGCGGGGCCAGGGACAGTCAGGCTGGGGAGGAAAGTGCAAGATGGTGCTGGACGTCCTCCAACCAGGAAATGAGGCGGAGCAAGACTGCAAGAGTGAAGGGGAGGAGCCAGTACACGTGTGCAAGACTGGAGGGGAGGGGCCGGTACACCTGTGCAAGATTGTAGGGGAGGAGCCGGTACACCTGTGCAAGACTGAAGGGGAGGAGACGGTACACCTGTGCAGGACTGAAGGGGAGGAGCCGGTACACCTGTGCAGGACTGAAGGGGAGGAACCGGTACACCTGTGCAAGATTGTAGGGGAGGAGCCGGTACACCTGTGCAAGACTGAAGGGGAGGAGACGGTACACCTGTGCAAGACTGAAGGGGAGGAGAGACGGTACACCTGTGCAAGACTGAAGGGGAGGGGCAGGTATACCTGTGCAAGATTGTAGGGGAGGAGCCGGTACACCAGTGCAAGACCGAAGGGGAGGAGACGGTACACCTGTGCAGGACCGAAGGGGAGGAGCCGGTACACCTGTGCAGGACTGAAGGGGAGGAACCGGTACACCTGTGCAAGACTGAAGGGGAGGAGACGGTACACCTGTGAAAAACTGGAAGGCAGGAGTCGGTACACCTGTGCAAGACTGAAGGGGAGGAGCCGATACACCTGTGCAAGACTGAAGGGGAGGAGCCGATACACCTGTGCAAGACTGAAGGGGAGGAGCCGGTAAACCTGTGCAAGACTGAAGGGGAGGAGGCGGTACACCTGTACAAGACTGAAGGGGAGGAGCCGGTAAACCTGTGCAAGACTGAAGGGGAGGAGCCGGTACACCTGTACAAGAATGAAGGGGAGGAGCCGGTACACCTGTGCAAGACTGAAGGGGAGGAGCCGATACACCTGTGCAAGACTGAAGGGGAGGAGCCGGTAAACCTGTGCAAGACTGAAGGGGAGGAGCCGGTACACCTGTACAAGAATGAAGGGGAGGAGCAGGTACACCTGTACAAGAATGAAGGGGGCCGGAGAGGGAGGGATTTATGAACATACAGAGTGATATGAAAATAAAATCCGGGAGAGTGCAGATAATGCTGCTGGCCAATTTTCCCTCATTATTACTGTATAATGATGAGGTCGCTCAGCGGTAATGGGAGGAGTGAAGGTCTGCGGGGCTCTAAGTGGAAGGAAGAGGAAATATCCATTAAAATGGAGGAGAGGAGAAGGAGAACTGAAGAGATCACAGAGCCCTTCGATCCGACACCCAGGAGATCAGCAGCCTGGACCTCTGGAAGTGTCAGAACTGCAAGGTGCAGGAACCAATCAGATATCACA